GCCATTGCAATGCTTTCTGAAAGGAACACTTTATGTTTACCTTTCTGTCTTTTTGTTTAATTTTGTTTGATCCAAGGCTTGTCGGCACAAGAGTTAATTCATACAGTAAGTGGAACCATTGTGAAAAGTAAGCGTTTGTGTGGTAAGAGGAAGTAGGAGTGGACACATATTTATAATATTAGTAATAACTACAGTTGGCAACAAGCAGCTTAGCTCGCTCACAAATCTATTTCCACAGTGCTGTTTTAACTAGGACATTGTGTTCAACTGTGGATTTGGAATTTCTGATCTGATCGGGGTCATGTTAAATTTGTGATTTAACTATTTATTTTCTCTCTTTCTCTCCTAGCACCTTCAACCCTTTAGCTATTTTTAAACACTTTAATATTTCAGTTGTATAAACATCAGTTGACATCAGGTCAGATTTGATCACTATGAATGTTTTTTGACATCTTCCTGTCCCCATGTTAAACAGCTGTAGCATGAGTGACATTTCAAGCAGGAAAACACACACACCAAACACTGCCTGCCTGCGACCGCCAGGCAAGGTGAACTGAACTTGATCATCGCCCGAGGGCCTGTAGGTCTGAATACAGGCTGTAGTCATGTGAAGTGTTATTAATTAACGAGGAAGCTTGTGCCTCCTCGCTCCTGAATGGGAAATTAGTATTCTTCCAGTCTAATTCACACACACACACACTCACCTCCACAAGCCTCACACTGAAAACTAGACACTGTGTTCAATTATGAGAACAGTCAGAATGAGGAGAGGATCAGGAAATAATTGTATGTGCTTAGATAATGCCACTTATAATTGCTTTATACAGAGACTTGAATTTTAAATATTCATCAGGACTTTACCTTGATAGATGTTGTTTTGGGGTTTTTGTACCCCTCCCGCTCGCTCGCCCGCTCGCTCTCTCTTTCTCTTAGATGTTTTACTTTCTCTCTCTCTCTCTCTCTTCAGTCTCTGTCTCGGTTTTTCTCTCTCCCTCTCTCTCCCTCTCTCTATCTCTCTCTCTCTCTCTCTCCCTCCCTCACACAGAGGGGTCCCGAAACAACCTTCTTTTTTTTTTTATCAGTCCTATTTATCAATGGTCATGCTTTTTGTTGGCATATCGACATTTGACATTACATAGTTTTGTATGTGTGTGATATCTCAATCAATAATTGACCTACTGTACAAAGAAAGGCTCTCTATTCAGTCGCTCTATTCAATAGTGGTGTGTTTAGAGCCCTCTGTGCCTCACTGTGTGCGATAGAAGGCATGGCCAAGCCTTCATGGCCTTTGACTCACACTGAGTATTTGTCCAACCAGCATTGGAGAGAGAATCTCATATTGACTTCAAGGACAAAAAATTAAATTAAAATACAATGACTTTAGAATTTCACCAAAATACATTATGTCCCTTTTGTAAGAGCATGTAAGCAGACATCGTTCTTTAAAAAAAATCAGATTTCTAAGAGAGCCATCACTGCTGGGGTACAATAATAGTAATCCTCTTGTGAATAAACCTTCAATGTATATTTTACATTTACATTTTAGTCATTTAGCAGACGCTCTTATCCAGAGCGACTTACAGTTAGTGAGTGTATACATTTTCATACTGGCCCCCCGTGGGAAACGAACCCACAACCCTGGCGTTGCAAGCGCCATGCTCTACCAACTGAGCTACAGGGGACTGCCTTAAATAAAATAAGTGTTTGTGGGGATAGCAGCTGCTTACTGTGCTGTGCTTGCTCAGTTTGTACCACAGCATCTGAATTTGAACCGCCAGCCTTTGATGCACTTAGATGTATTAATTTATTCTGTGTTTTCTCGCCAGGGCTACATAATAGCTTCCTTTTGTTGTTAAATGGGCCTTACAAAATACATGAGGTAATTCATCACTGGGATTATAGGAGGAGAAACTCACACACACACAAACTCCACTCTCTCTCTGTGTGTGTGTCCGTTTGTGTGTGTGTGTGTGTGTGTGTATGTGTGTGCCTGTGTGTGTGCGAGTGTGCATGCATGCCTGTGTGTTTAAAAAGCGGGTAATTTGTGTCAGACAGCCCATCTTCTGAAAAGAGCCAGTATGACGGGGGCCATTTTGACAGTCATAATAATGATGCTCTCATCTAGGGGCAACAGTCCCATCATCATCAGAGTGCTGCCTGCCTGACATTAATATATGCAAGAACCAGTAGCTGCATTAGAACACTGGTCCTGTAGGGCTTTATTTCACAGCACTGTGAGCACAGACATCCCAGCCCAATTCCTTCTGTCACTGCAAATCATCAAAATCCTTAAAGACCAAATGCAGCAGTTTTATATCAACATCAAATAATTTATGTGTAACAATTAAGTACCATACTGTAATTGTTTCCATTAAAATTGTCAAAAATAGCTTTTTAGCTAAAAAAAACTATTTGTCAAGCAAGCATTTTGCTAGGACTGTCTGGGAGTGGTCTGAGTGGGGAGGGAAAACTTAAAACTAGCTGTTATTGGCAGAGAGGTTTGGAACTCTCTTTCTTATTGGTCTATTAACCAATCAGGCAAGCCAAAATTCCCACCCATGCAAACAGGCTGACTGTTTGGATTGTATTTTCAACCAGAAACTATCAGGAAATAACACTGATCTAAAATGTTCACACTTTTACAGTGTTAGTTTCATCAGCTGTTGTACAATATGATACAAAACACAGGAAAAACTGAATGTTGACTGCACTGGGCCTTTAAGGAAATGGAACTATGTTTTGCATAACAAGTGGAACTACTGTACTAATTAAAGTAGAGCTATACTCAACCACTCCAGGAATGTGGTGCTTTTAAACATGGCTGGGAGGTTTTGATATGGTGCAGTCACAGTGACATAATCTGGCATGCTACTACTTAGTGGAGTGTTCTAGTGTTCTTGGAGTGTTCTTGGAGTGTTCTAGTTGTTTGCCAATGGGATTTGATTAGAGAGAGCAGTACAAAGGACCCCACTCCACTGACTGATCTCATTAAGGTGTTTGTATTTATCCCCAGGCATTTTCTTTTCCCCTGTTCCTTAAATGGTATTACCCCGCCCCCCTAGAGAATTTATGGTTCATTGTTACCAATTCTAAATTGATTCCCCCTTCCTCTTGTCTCTCTCTCTGTCTTTCTTCTTCAGGCTGCTTGGTTTGTTTGTTTAAGTCCATGTTGGAATGCTAGCTGGATGATGACATGTCGTCCAGAGGATGTTTGTTTAGGACACAAGTTTCTATGTCAAACATCTGTTTTTCATAGAGCTATCCATTAATCCAATTTCCTAAATCCCCTGTCATGTTTAGAGAGAAGGATTACATTTGTGTTTCCCTGAAAACTCCCCCCACAGTTGTTTGATATGAGCTTGTGCATGTGTGTGCACAGTTTTTAAAAAATCATGTTGTTTTTATGGTAACTTAATGGCAGTTACCTGTAAGTTACTGTAAAATAAAGTACAGTATATTACTGTAAATTCCAAATAAACGTTGGTTTAACAGTACATTACTGTCAAGTTTTTTTTACGGTGTGTGTGCACACGCGTGCGTGCGTGTGGGTGTCTGTCCTGACTCCACAAGCTGAAAATTAGCCTGCATGGGAACTGCTGGCTCCTAAACATCTGAGCTAATCCATCAACTATGCAAATCATGATTCCAATTTAGAGAGACTGCATCCGCTAGAGGGATTTTCTATCGTGGCTTTTCTTCTTCTTAAGTATTATTATTTTCAAATACAGAAAACTAATACCGTGATTTCATGTTTTGTTGAACAGTTGTATAGATTTGATTTATATTTGGACCAACCTGCACCGTGAACCCTAATGAACAATGTACAAATATAGAAAATAAAAGAAGTGTTTGTGGGGATAGCAGCTGCTTGCAATGCTGTCTAAATTGATATTCTGGGCATGACTTTATGTTTAAAATTGGCTAACAAAAGATCTTCAGACATGATTTCCTGGCCTTTGTGATAGGATGGTATTGAAAGCTTCCATGGGTAAACACACATCATTAGTAAAGATGAAGGGCTAGCATTGAAATCCTATATGTTTTCTTTTCATGCACACCACTCACAGATAAAGAAGGAAATAAGGGTATGGTTGGTTGTTTATAAAGGGGTAATATTATCTGGTAGGCTATATTGACTGTGTTATAGCTTCTCTGGTTAATTGTTATTTTCATGCACTGTAAAGTTTAGTGCTGGACTGAAGACATACTGATTAGTCCGACAACGACCATTACTGAAACATGACTCCCCTGTCATTCTTGTGAAGTAAAATGTGTTTTTAAACTTGTTACATATTGATAAACACTCTCCTTTAAATGTCATGAAAATAGTATGTATCCATAGATCTATCTATAGAAAATACAATATTAAGAACCTATAGGGTTAAATGCGCTCCACACGATGTAGCCTAGAAGCTCTCTGTTCTTCCCTGTGGTTTCTTAACAGAGGAGGGCGCCCTCATCTTTAGTACAACTTCATTCTCATTGAAAAAAGGCACACCCTTTGCATACCATATATGTCATAATAAACATAACGTAATTGCCTAATGAATTGTTAATCAAACGCAATTAAGAGGTGCAAATTGCACACATGTGTATCTATTTTAATTGCAAATCAGATGTTATAGTAAGCCTAATAATGTGTCACACTTTTTCCAAACAGGACACGAGAAATTGTTAATTAAATAGTTGTTTTTGCATTTTGGAATGGATTGATTTAATAGCCTACAACGCTCAAAGCAGAATGACAGCTCTCGAGTTATTACTTGCAATTGTTACACTAATTATATTTAATAAAGCACATTTCATATCTGTAAGAAGATGAAAACAATCATATTACAAGTGTGAAACTCCAAGTTATTATTATTTTATTTTATTAAATATCACAGAAAGAGAGAAGGGTTGAGTTAGGGAGAAGGGGCGAAACGTCGGACGGGCAGGCACTAAGACATGTTGCTACCACGGAGAGAGTAGATGGGTCTCTAAAGAGAGAGGTGGTCCGACGTTCCTCACCACTATCCTCAGAACGCTGTGACCTGCTTGACAGAGAAATAGCTACACACTCCCTATTTGGCATTACACTAAAACTTTGTCGTTTTCACCATGCAACTTTTTCCGATTTGCTCAAACTGAAAAGCACAGATTTGTTGTTTTATCTTGGAGACCCCGATACTGTTTGGACAACAAAAAGGATCGCTTTTACGCACGCAATTTGTGTCGAGTTAATGCAGGTTGTAGGGATAGCTGCTTCAACAGACAGAAACGTTATGGACAAGTAATTTAGTGGTCGGGAAGGTTAGACCATGGTATGTGCGTCCACAGGTCAACGTTTTTGAAGAACATCATGATTTTCTAAACTCTTCACAGTGAATTTATGTGGCCCGCTGTTGCCAGTTATATGTTGTAAATCATTGTCGCTTGTTGGATGGATACAATGAAACAAACGGCTGCTGGTACAGAAATGCTGGTCTCCAAGGATTACACATTACAGATGCGGGATAGGAGAGAATGCGATACGCGCTCCAGGGAAAGAATAGAGGAAGAGATGGATCGTGTGCGAACTCGGGAGAGATTGGAAGCCACTCTAGCGGGTCTTGGAGAGCTGGAATATTTGCGACAACGACAGGATTTACTGGTCAGAAATGTGTTGAATCACCAAGAGGACTCTATATCAACAGGAGAAGATCCAATTTGCGTTACGCATGAGGAGAATTACTTGAACTCGGAAGAAAAACTTTTAGAAGAAAACATTTTATTGCTAAGAAAACAACTGGTATGTAGACTTAATAAAATGTAATTTATTTACTCCCGCTGTGTTTTGGATAACATTAATCTTTGATTTATTTGGGTCCGTTATTTTGGTTACATTTCAAATGATGTCGTGAAATACAACAGTCACCCTATTAATGTTGGTTTGAGTCCATCCAAATTGTTAAGCCAGAGGTCTATTTTCTGACCCAGTCGCAGCTCATGGGCAGGGAATAGCGGAACATAGCCAAGCCTACTGATAATAACCGTTGGATACGTTGAGTTTGTGCTTCCTCAGGCCAGGCGCAAGTCTGTCGAAGGATGAAGTAGATGTTTAGTATGATACAATATTAAAATAAAAACAGGCCTGTAAATTATATTCCAGACTACTTTCCAGACAGTTTTTTCCCCTTCATTTTGGGCCTTTAATAGCATGACCTGCTCTATTCTTCTTATTTCACTCACAGATCAAATCAAGAGAAGTCTGTTTCAAATTGTAGCCTACATAATGTTGGAAAAGTTCAATGGAACATTATTTACCATTTACAATAAATGAACGATTGTGTTATTAGATATGTCATCGTATGAAAAATGTATGCACTCACTGACTGTAAATCGTTCTGGATAAGCGCGTCTGCTAAATGACTAAAATGTAAATGTATCCCAATGCAAGCAGATTCAGTAGTTGGGCGTCTAAAGGAAAATAGGTTGGTTCTCAGAGAATGAAATGGAGAGAATAGCAGGATGGCTATTATAAAATAATTAGTGTTATTTAAATCAAACTTCCTGAAGGGAGAAGGAAAGTCCTGATGTACTAATGTGGTCTGCGAGGTGGTCCAGTGATGAGTTACAATGGATGGGGCGACTGAAATTAACTTTTACAAGCAGATCTACCACACCCCGTTGCTGTTAAAGGATGCCGGGTAATTTATGTGCTGGTCGTTTGAGATTAGGCCATTTAAACATATCAAAACACACCTGGGTTCAATTTGGCAGTAAGGGGAAAATCATGAATCGTTTTGTTTTTTTAAGTTGCAATTGTTGTGTTGGATTTTATTTATATGTATGTATGTGTGTGTGTCCTTACCCCTTCGATTTAATGTAGGCCTAAATTAAATCATATTTGTTTTCAACCTCATTCTATCATTTCACACTCAGCCTGTCAACCCAGTGTGAGGATAGTGTTATTCAGCAAAACAACCGTTGGTCTGCCTCTGCTTTTCGAAAATGGTACATTGTGTGGAAATGGTCTCTGAAGCCATAGCATGCTCTGAGCACATGAATCACCCTCTGCCTCCTGTCACAGGCCTGGTTTTATGGCCTGCCAGTCTGCTGCAGCCCTGCTCTGTAGGAAGTGCTGCAGCTAGATATAGCCTGGAATCTGTGTATATGTTGCATTACTGGCCTCAGTCATGGATCAAATAGTATAACTATGTATGTGTATATGTATAATGCACAGGGGATAGCTAGACCTACTGAGATAGCTAGCTGGTACTGGGAGTAATGTGGTCTGCAAGCCACATAATTGTCACAAATGTAGTGAATGTAAATAGGGTCTGACTGTCACTGAGCCTTCAGGGTTGACATTTGCAGTTGGTCTTTGAATTCAAACCACACTCTAGAGCGGAATGTAACCACCACATGATCTGGTTGTTGTCATATGCGACCCGGGCTGGGCTGTTCCACATAACCTGCATGTTTGAGGGAGGAATTGTTTTTCTCCCACGAGATGTGATTCTAATTTAGTTTGGAATATTAATGGGTTCTGATAGGGCGACACAGTCTCGTTAAGATGTTGAAGACTTGCAGCACAGTACCTATAGCCCTACTTTAAGTAACCAACATGCAAGGCTGTGGATTTAATCCACAATGGAACCAATATTGGGGGCTAGACATGCTATTGCTTGTCAATAACAATATAGAACAACCCTGAATTGGATTGAGCTGTAGATATCATAGACATATAGCCTGCTCCCAGATCAGTTTGTGCTCTTGCCAACTCCATTGTTCATTGTCAAGTCAAACATGGCATGTTTGGTTTGGAATGACAAGGAGTTGGCATGATAGCACAGATAGACTGGCACTCAGGCTAATAGATATAGCTACATAGGAACCAAATGTTACTGTACAACTGTAACTAACTATTGTCTGTGTATGTTTCCCTCCAGAACTGTCTGAGAAAGAGAGATGCTGGTTTGATCAATCAACTGCAGGAGCTGGACAGGCAGATCAGTGACCTCCGATTGGACACGGAGGCGTCACATGAGCAAGTGGAGACAGACAGCCGCCCAAGCTCGGGTTAGTGTGGTTCTACAATAGAATTGGAATGGATTCTAAGGGTTCTACCTCAAAATGTTACCCTGTGGAAACTAGACATTATCAGTAGGATCTGTCAATTGTGAATCAGTTCAACTTAAGCAATTGAGGATACTGTAGAATGTGTAATCCCCCAAAGGTAGGGTTCTAAGCCAATAAACACAAACATGACATAGAAGTGACTGGCAATGCTACATTTTTGGTCACACTTTATTTGGATAGTCCAGATAGTCCATCTGTAGATGCTCTACAGATGATCATACTATCTGTTGATAAGCAACTGCTTGCTAAGGTTAGGGTTAGGTTTAGAATAAGGGTTAGGGTAAGGGTTAAGGTTAGGGTTAGTAGATCGTTTGTTGAAATATTACTGAGTGTGTAGATGGTCTGTAGAGCGTCTACAGATGGACTATCCAAATAAAGTGTTAACCATTATTTATAAATTTTTTAAAATGGGCTACCATCTCACATATAGAAGGGTTTCTCTTACCATTGTCTAGAGTACTAATATGGTAGCACACAGTCCGTGAGCTGTGGTTGGTACTGTATCCCCTTATTAGTTGTATACATTCCACATTCCTTATGTAGGAGGTCACTTTGGAAAGTGTGATCTAGTGAATCTTACTGCAGAACATTCCATACTGTTCATGTACAGTATATTATAGGAGATTGTGTATTTTAATATAACTGTTCACAACTAACTTCAAATAGATATGTCTGAAGTTTATTTCAGTTGGTATGGAATCAGCATTCCACCATTCTACTCCAAAGCTCATTTCATAGTGCGTGCCAGAAAATTACAGAGCGGGTGTAGGGCAGGCTACGCTGCAAATAGAAAAAACTTTACCTGAATCTAGTCTAAACCCTATTTACACAAGCCTTGTTTTTTTAAGTGCTTGATATTTTCTGCATTAATTATTTTCATAGCCACAGCCTAACATGTAATAAATTGTTGGATGACAGCTCCCTCCCTGCGGGGTGTAAAATCAACGTGTTAAAAATGTTCCCTTCTGTTTCTCTGCCCTCCCTTTCTCTCTCTCTCTCTCTTTCGCTCTTTTTCTCTCTCTCTAGGTTTTTACGAGCTGAGCGACGGAGCTTCGGGGTCCCTCTCCAACTCCTCCAACTCGGTGTTCAGTGAGTGTTTGTCCAGCTGTCGGTCCAGCACCTGTTTCTGCAGTCCTCTCGACACATCGCTGTGTGCCTCCGAGGGAAGGCTCAAATCTGCAGGTGAGAGAGAGGCCCTCACAGCCTTGCACAGCCCCATAAGGGTTGTGGACAATTTCATTTTAATTCATTCAATTCAGGAAGTAAACAACATGTTTTTCCTCATAGAGAAGCATTGAGGAGAATTGGAGTTTCAGTTTACTTCCTGAATTTAAAAGGGATTGACCCCAACCCTGCAGCACAGCACAGCACTGTGCCTGTGGGCAGGACCGAATCCTGATGTTTGATGTCACATGTGGTCTATCTTGGGAACAACAAGCTAGGCTGAATCATTTTGTTGTCCTTTGCTGTATAAACAACACACTCTTTCCTTCTTTCCCAAAATACCCCCATCACTCCCTTCACCCGCCCACCATCCACATAACTTGGGTCTCAGTGTCGTCTTTTATTTCAGTGCTTCATTCCAGCTGGCCCCAGATCAACTTCTAATAGTTTCCTTGGTGTTACCAATAGTGGGGTTTGTTGTGACAATACTTTGATTCAGTTTCAAACGAATTATAGAGAAAAGAGTAGGAAGGAAACACCAAATGGCACCCTTTTTCCTACATAGTGCACTACTTTTGACCAGAGCCCTATGGGCACTATGTAGGGAATATGGTGTCATTTGGGATACAGACACTATCAGTTGCGCTAGATTCCCAGCCAGGCCAGGCAGATGGCTCTAACTAACAGCCACACCTATGATGATAAGACACAAACAAAAGGTCCATTAACACATCTAAACCAACTGCCCCCTTCGTTAGCATATTGAGAGGTTGCATGCTTTACTTTGCTTACCCTGTCAACACTACCGTAAGCTTCTGTGTGGCATTATTGTTGAAATGAGGAAATGGTATGGAAACTGGTGGTTTCTGTTGTTTTGAATTACTAGTGGTGTGTCTGTAGTCCGTATTCTTTCTTTCCGGTCTGGTTTCCATATGAGATACTAGTGGTGCGTCTGTAGTCTGTGTTGTACTGTAGTTCTTAATCTTTGTATCCTGTGTGGTTTTCAGATGAGCTGGGCAGCTATGGTGAGTGTGAGAGCCAGTGTGCGGAGCAGCAGACCATAGGGACGGTTAGGAAGTCACTCTCCACCCCCTACTCCCCCTCTACGGACGCCTCTTCCACGCAGGACATCCAGTCTAAGTACCACTGTGACCTGATCGCCAAGAACGGCAGCGACGTGTACCGCTATCCCAGCCCCCTCCATGCCGTGGCCGTACAGAGCCCCATCTTCTTCCAGTCTCTTGCCGGCCATCTCAAAGAGGATGCGGGGCTGTCAAAGAGCAGCGGCGGCGAGGGCTCCAGTGACTGTCAGAAACTAAAGCAGCAGCCGATTCTGGTGCCCCAGAACACTTCTTGGCCTGCCTCCCATGCGCCTACCAGCAAAAGACTGGACAATTATATATTCGGCCTGCTTCAGAGGAGGGCTCAGCCCATTAGGACCAATAAGCCGCGGACGAGCATCAGCACAGACCCCTCTAAGAGCATCCTGAGGCAGGGCAGCTTGTGTGTGAGACAGGCTACTGTTGGCCAGCAGCAGCAAGGAAGGACTGCTGCTCCTGTTCCTGACCTTAAACCAGCCTGGCAGACGTGTTTACATGCAGGAGGTGCCAGTAACACTGATCCAGGAACAGGCTCTTCACAGAGACAGTGGTCAGTGGAGAGCAAAGGGGAACTCCTCTTAGAAAATGGTATGGTGTCCCAGTCTCTGGGCCAACCTCAGAACGGATATGCCACAATCGACAGCAGTGAGATTCACACCAACAGCCTGGGGAAAAAGAAGGGGTCTGGGTTGTCAGCCAATAAAGGACTTCCATCGGCGACCGGTCCTCTGTCTAAGGATTACCAAGACTTGGGCGCCCCAAATGCCAACTCCTCCCCCAAAGAGAGCAAGCATCCTTATTTCTCTGCTGCTCCAGAGGACATCAGTACTAAACCCCCCCAGACACTCCCTAGAGACCGCACCAGAGCAGGCACTCCCAAGAAAAGCCCTAAGAGTATCCTGGTCTCGGTCCAGACAGCCCAAAGCACTAAGGAAGAGAGGCCCATGCTGGAGCTGGTAAGTCTGGGGTCTTCCTCCCAGAGCCAGGATGAAGGTCAGGGTCACATGGTCAGTGCCCAGTACATCCCTGCCCAGAGGCAGGTTGTCAAGCTCCGCAAAGGGGGCAAGAACATCAAGATCGTCAAGGTGAAGAGTGCCTCTCTGAAACCACACCGGGGGGTTCACGCACACGCTGAACCTATGTCATCCGAGGCGACAGGGGGGAGGGAGAAGGGTCACCGATCTGGAGGGTCGAGGAATTCTCGTCAGCCTGAGGAGGTACAACACGTGCACAAAGTCTCCTCCAAGAGGGGGGCGTCTTCCAGGGCCAAGCGCACCATCCCTGCCTCCATCCCTGAGGGCCGGGTCCTTGAGAAACACACGGCCACGGTGTCCACAACCAGGTCCACTGTGTCCAGGCATCATGGTCACCATGGCAGGGAAGTGGTGGTGGCCAAGCCCAAGTACAAGAGGACAAGCGGACAGGACTACAACCGAGGAAGGCTGAAAGCCTTCACTGAGGTGCCTTACGACGAGGCCTTTAGGAGAGCCCACCGCAGACAGAAGAGGGAGGTCCTCGGCCAGGTCTCCACCACCATGTACCTGCCATCCAACGTGAAGTTCACCAGCCCTTACGCCTATGTGGCTGGCAGCGACTCGGAGTACTCCGCAGAGTGCGCCTCGCTTTTCCATTCCACCATCGTGGACACCAGTGAGGACGAGCAGAGCAACTACACTACCAACTGCTTCGGGGACAGCGAGTCCAGTCTGAGCGAGGTGGACTTTGTGGGGGGGAGTACCACCAGCAGTGACTCTGAGGAAAGCGGAGGGATGAACTGGCCCCAGTTTTCAGGGCAGGGCGCTGGGCCTCATGAGTTAACCGCTGCCCAGGCTAAGGCCTTCATCAAGATCAAGGCCTCTCACAACCTGAAGAAGAAGATCCTCCGCTTCCGATCGGCAGGCTCGCTGAAACTGATGACGACTGTATGAGGGAGGGACTTCAGGGTGTCAGGCAGGAAGCAGTGACTCAGCCAATCAAATTGGCCACTCTCTCTCTGCCCAAGATCAAGTGCCTAGGCAGATTTTTTTTATTTACAGAAAGTCTTTACTGAAATCGGTCTCAGACGTTTAAGGAAACATTTAATTGGGATGCGAGGATTTGTACAAAATGTCCAGCAGACTCCCTCTCCATGCACTTTCTGACACGTTGGACAGGGTGAAAAGCATCTGAGTAGCCCCATTTTTATTTTGTTGTATGCAGCGGTTTTTGTATTTATTATGGACATTACCCTTGCTGTGGTACATGGCAAAAAATCTGTAAATGCTTTTAATGTTCTTGGTTTACTTTTTGGAATAAAGATATTTCAAACGTAATATATTTGGTTGCTAATTCTTGGATTCATGTGATACTTTATTTGACTGATTTATTATAGCAGAGTATTACTTAAGTGTCTGTAAGGGATACTAATGGCTAGATAGACATATATTCTGAAAACTGACGTTCCAACTTCAACTGCTGATGATACCATGGTAACGCTTTGATATATGTACACATAAGATATGCATGAGGAACTGCTTTACCTTCATTTGTTGTTGATAGCAAGTACATTGCCAATTGTTGTATATAATGTCTGTATGTTAATACTGGTGTTTTAACCGTTTTATGCTTTATTAAATGTCTGCTTTAAAATCAATATTTGGTCATCACCTTCCCTTCACTGGCATAACGCAGTTTCTCTGGACCCCCGCAAGGTTGGAGTCCCCCCAGAGTTGGAGTATCAGCCAGACAGCCACTCAAAAAATAGACTACCGATCGCTGTCCATGTAGCTGAAATAGCAACGTGTCTATGCGGTTGCATGCCTGTCGAATCGATGATAGGCTTTCTGTGGTTTCATGTATAGCTTTGCTTTAGGTAATGGATAAATGTTTATTGGTAGGCCTATTTGGTCATTTTCTGATGTTAAGCTTATCATTTCAGAAAGCTATACACTGTGTCGCAATGCTGCCATTTTTAGACTGCTTGCTGGTGGCAATGTAATTACTTGTTCAGTAATTTAAAGTTGGAAATTCAAACATTGCAGATTGTAAAGTACATTTCTGTTGCAACAGCATACTAATCAGCTACCAATAGCTTTTTTGGAATATACAACTGTCCTGTATAGACAACATGTATGACCTGAACCGTCCTCCTGCTCTCTCCCAGCTTGGATAGGTAGTTGTGCATAAAACCAGCCTATTAATGCCAAATAATACAGTCCTTCCACCTTCAAAACACTATCTTACTAGGGATCGTTTCATTATGCAGTGTACTATCTGTAGCTATATACTGTATTTAGCTGCTATTTATAAACTTTTTATACAAATTACACATCAAATAGCCTAATGAGGAAGTCTGCTTGAGGAATAATTCAGCCACTATTTATTGTTGAGTGGGTTTGTATGGCTTATAGCCTACACAAATGGGCTGCAATATTCAAGGTAAATTTAAATCAAATGATATCCAACTTGAGACTCCCCTGTTGTCCTGAAGTCCTCCTTTTTTGTGTGCAAATGTTTTCACTAAGACCTGTAGGTCCAGTTTGCGGGACAGACTTTTCCATACTGAGTATTGCCACCCAGACAGTCTTTCCGGAGACATTGTACCGTTACACTGTATGCCCATTGTGCTGCACACATTTTAAACTTAGTCTTGAATGATGCATGCCAAGATATACCAGAGATAAGGGACTGTTGATATTGTAACCACACAACTCAAACGCCGGTTCACCAGTATGAACGAAATCGCAAACCACTTTTTTTGTTCAAGCCCTCAAGAACTGTTGACCGCTAAAAATGATAATTTGTTTGCATCTGTCATTTTATTGGCTGTCCAGTATCCAGACGACCTATCCCCAGAGCTTCCTATACAGTTCATCTCTTTCCGTAACGTGTTGAGGCCAGAAATTAAGGACAACGAGAGGCTCATTTAAAGATGCTGCAGAACTACTGTATTTGAAGCACCAATCCCTTCTGCCCAGTTTCCCTGATGTTGTTACGGCAAACAAACTGTTTTTACCATCCCTGTAACTGATGCTTCTGCGGAGAGATCGTTTTCTAAACTAAAACTCATAAAGAACTAGGCCTACCTAAGAAGCATTAGGCTCTCGGTCTGATATGCGCTTTTGAACACCTGAGTAAGCTCCACTCATTGATACTTTGTTCCTTGTTCCTTATACTTTCACTAAGTAATTGTATTTCTTTTTCAAGGCCTGAGGCACTTTTTCAGTCACATTCCTGAAGCCCAAGAAGCAAACACTTAGCTTCCTAGTACATATGGAAATTAAAACGGTTTATGAATTACTTTTGGAGGGTTACTGTCAAAATTATTAATTACATTTAAAATAATAGACCGATGAGAGGCCGTGGGCCCCACCCACCTTGCGGGAGCTGAGGGGTTGTATGGTACGCCAGTGTGTGCACTGAGGTAGCATAGTTGTGTTGTTGACAAGTGTTAATGTATTTTTCTCCAACTCAACCTCCTCACTGTGACATTATGATATTCAATGTGACCTTCACTCTATTTTGTCTCAGTAAATGTAACTTGGATATTCTAGAACCTTATCTACCTTTACAGGTCATTCTACAGTGTAGAAATAAAAGTATATTCTATGTTCTACAGTACTAAAGCATGTTCCAGAACCGTATCCACCTTCATAGATCATTCTAGAATCTCCAGTACTGAAGCATTGCTTCAGTTTCATAAATGCCTCCTGGACAGCTAAACAAATACTGTTTTCACTCCACATATTGGTCCGTATCACAGTCCTGTCTGTGTTTCTGCCCAGATGCTCTTTGTCTTTGGTGTGTCAGTCTCTTGCTCAAACGTTAAACTCACTGATCACGTCACGGTAACATGACACCCTGTCTGTGTCTGTGACACTTCAGTAGTCGAACCTTCTCAGACAATATTCCAGTCCACAACCTCGCCTGGCTGCAAGTGGGAGGAAAGAGAGAAACAATAAGTCAACTTTCAGCCTCTGTCTGGGAATTAATTAGCTACAGAAAATTGTATAGGATATTTATAGGAAATGGGAGTAGGTAGAAATGACTGTACTGATAGTACATCATGCATTCGTGTGTGACCTTCAGATAAACATCGGCATCATGTCCTCCGGGCAAATATCATCCAGCTTACATGTTGAATTTTTCATATCAACAACATGTATGGAGTCAGGCACTGATACATAGGGAGTAGGAGTAATCACAGACACAGTGAAAGGAATTTAACCCTTGCAATGTGTAGTTTCCCAGTGACTCAGCCTTTTTCTCTCTACCCTGCAGAAATGACAGCCAAGGTAGTGTGTAGGAACAGGTAACCTGATTAGAATATTTGACACCGTTTTTCTCCTACAGTGAGGGGAAAAAAGTATTTGATCCCCTGCTGATTTTGTACGTTTGCCCACTGACAAAGACATGATCAGTCTATAATTTTAATGGTAGGTTTATCTGAACAGTGAGAGACAGAATAACAACAACAAAATCCAGAAAAACGCATGTCAAAAATGTTATAAATTGATTTGCATTTTAATGAGGGAAATAAGTATTTGACCCCTCTGCAAAACATGACTTAGTACTTGGTGGCAAAACCCTTGTTGGCAATCACAGAGGTCAGACATTTCTTGTAGTTGGCCACCAGGTTTAAACACATCTCAGGAGGGATTTTGACTCCCCTTTGCAGATCTTCTCCAAGTCATTAAGGTTTCGAGGCTGACATTTGGCAACTCGAATCTTCAGCTCCCTCCACAAATGTTTTATGGAATTAAGGTCTGGAGACTGGCTAGGCCACTCCAGGACCTTAATGTGCTTCTTCTTGAGCCACTCCTTTGTTGCCTTGGCCGTGTGTTTTGGGTCATTGTCATGCTGGAATACCCATCCACGACCCATTTTCAATGCCCTGGCTGAGGGAAGGAGGTTCTCACCCAAGATTTGACGGTACATGGCCCCGTCCATCGTCCCTTTGATGCGTTAAAGTTGTCCTGTCCCCTTAGCAGAAAAACACCCCCAAAGCATAATGTTTCCACCTCCATGTTTGACGGTGGGGATGGTGTTCTTGGGGTCATAGGCAGCATTCCTCCTCCTCCAAACACGGTGAGTTGAGTTGATGCCAAAGAGCTCGATTTTGGTCTCATCTGACCACAACACTTTCACCCAGTTCTCTGAATCATTCAGATGTTAATTGGCAAACTTCAGACGGGCCTGTATATGTGCTTTCTTGAGCAGGGGGACCTTGCGGGCGCTGCAGGATTTCAGTCCTTCACGGCGTAGTGTGTTACCAATTGTTTTCTTGGTGACTATGGTCCCAGCTGCCTTGAGATCATTGACAAGATCCTCCCGTGTAGTTCTGGGCTGATTCGTCACCGTTCTCATGATCATTGCAACTCCACGAGGTGAGATCTTGCATGGAGCCCCAGGCCGAGGGAGATTGACAGTTCTTTTGTGTTTCTTCCATTTGCGAATAATCACACCAACTGTTGTTACCTTCTCACCAAGCTGCTTGGCGATGGTCTTGTAGCCCATTCCAGCCTTGTGTAGGTCTACAATCTTGTCCCTGACATCCTTGGAGAGCTCTTTGGTCTTGGCCATGGTGGAGAGTTTGGAATCTGATTGATTGATTGCTTCTGTGGACAGGTGTCTTTTTATACAGGTAACAAGCTGAGATTAGGAGCACTCCCTTTAAGAGTGTGCAACTAATCTCAGCTCGTTACCTGTATAAAAGACACCTGCGAGCCAGAAATCTTTCTGATTGAGAGCGGGTCAAATACCTATTTCCCTCATTAAAATGCAAATAAATTTATAAAAAAATTTACATGCATTTTTCTGGATTTTGTTGTTGTTATTCTGTCACACACTGTTCAAATAAACCTACCATTAAAATGATAGACTGATCATTTCTTTGTCAGTGGGCAAACGTACAAAATCAGCAGGGGATCAAATACTTTTTTCCCTCACTGTATTTGGCAACTCACCTCACTGCTTTGGGTTAGCTTTCATCCCATGTACAGTGGGGGAAAAAAGTATTTAGGCAGCCACCAATTGTGCAAGTTCTCCCACTTAAAAAGATGAGAGAGGCCTGTAATTTTCATCATAGGTACACGTCAACTATGACAGACAAAATGAGAAAATGTTTTCCATAAAATCACATTGTAGGATTTTTAATGAATTTATTTGCAAATTGTGGTGGAAAATAAGTATTTGGTCAATAACAAAAGTTTCTCAATACTTTGTTATATACCCTTTGTTGGCAATGACACAGGTCAAACGTTTTCTGTAAGTCTTCACAAGGTTTTCACACACTGTTGCTGGTATTTTGGCCCAGATCTCCTCTAGAGCAGTGATGTTTTGGGGCTGTCGCTGGGCAACACGGACTTTCAACTCCCTCCAAAGATGTTCTATGGGGTTGAGATCTGGAGACTGGCTAGGCCACTCCAGGACCTTGAAATGCTTCTTACGAAGCCACTCCTTCGTTGCCCGGGCGGTGTGTTTGGGATCATTGTCATGCTGAAAGACCCAGCCACGTTTAATCTTCAATGCCCTTGCTGATGGAAGGAGGTTTTCACTCAAAATCTCACGATACATGGCCCCATTCATTCTTTCCTTTACACGGATCAGTCGTCCTGGTCCCTTTGCAGAAAAACAGCCCCAAAGCATGATGTTTCCACCCCCATGCTTCACAGTAGGTATGGTGTTCTATGGATGC